GGGTTTGAGCCCATTAATAGCTGCTTGGGCGGGGAACATTACCCCAAGATTTCAGCCTTCTAGCTTTTCAGATCCTCGAGTTATGAGTTGATCCCAAAAAAACTTTGGGGGGCCCGTACGCGGGTACCATGCGGGTTTTGGCGCCCATTTTGGGGATTGGGGGCGGTACGCGCATGTAGATTAAGTTCCCGAAATTTCAACCCCGCAGCTTTTATTGGTCCGGAGATGAAAGTGCGTGACAGACGCACACACAGACACACAGACACACAGACAACCTCTCGTCAATACGCGTTTTTTGCATTGCATTGCTGCAAAAAACGCATAATAAACGGCTTATAAGAGTGTATCGCCCTGAAATTTGTTGAACTTAAATTTTGGTTTTGAAGCTGTAAAAAGTGGAGGTTTGGAGTGTGAAATTTTAATTTAACTGTAGATACTGTTTGCACTGGATCCGCCAAATGGTACTCTGGTGGCTCGTTTATGCATATCGACTCAAGACGAAACAATCAGTTTCATCGTTGTCAACTTACTGCTTGCATTTATTATACCATTCATCTTGATATCCGCATTTTATTCGCGTATTTTCATAACTGTATCCAATCATCGTAGTTTAGCCGTTGATGCCAGGGTACTTCTTTTTTTCAAAACAACTTTAAGTAACTGCCAAATGTGATAAGCAATTACAGTGGAATGATTCCAGGTCACACCGATTTTGCAGTTTGTTCTCATTTGCTATTGATTCTTAAGACATTCTACTCGGCAAACGATCCAGAAATTTTGTTCGAGCAACTTCTAGCAAATTTATGCGGTGCCTGACAAATGCAGGAGAAAACGTCATTTTGCGAACAAATTTTGCCCTTTCCCTCCCCCATCCGGCCCCTTCCACATCTCTTCCTCTCTACCTCCGCACTGCAGTATTTCTACAGAACGATTTCATGCTTGCCGCCCGCTTCCTCCAGTTTTTACGCGTTTTTTGCATCTATGCAATGCAAAAACGCATATTGTCGAGGGGTTGTCTGTGTGT